TTATTTCTGTATATTATGTTTACTATTGTAGGTTTTTTTATTAATATTTTGACTTTTTTTTTAGTTTGGTTACATTTTTTGTAATTTTGTTATGTGCTTTTTTTAATGTTATTTAGGTTTAATTTAATTTCAGTTTTAGATTAGATTTATTTCCAGCAGTGTGTGCTTCAGCTTAAACGTATTTCAGTTAGCAACATTTCTCATTTTTAGTAAATGTGAAATTTTCATCTAAAATGTAAAATTTAATTCAGCTTTGTTTTAATTAACACAGTTGTTTTTAATAGTTCTAGTTTTAGTTCTGTTTGTTTGTTTATTCGTTCATTGATTGATTATATTAAATAAAATAAATTGTATTATTATTTATTTTATAAATGTGTTTATTCATTTATTTTGTATCATATTTTGTGCATAATTGTTATAAAAATCACAATGCAAAAAGTCATAAAAGGCTTCCTTTTCTTAATGCAAAGTGTTATTTTATGCTTTATTTCAGTTTTACGTCAATTAACAAAAATGTTTTTAATAGTTCTAGTTTAGTTCTCTCTCTTTCTTTCTTTCTTTTTATTGAATAAAATGCATTTTGAATGCATTGAATGCATTTTATTATTATTTATTTTGTTTTAGTTATTTATTTATTTTGAAATGTGCATGGTTATAAAAATTGCAAAATGCAAAAAGTCATAAAAGGTTTCCTTTTCTTTATGCAAAATTACTGTTTATGTTTATATTTTATTTCAGCATTATTTCAGTTCACAAAAATGTTTAAATAGTGTCTGTTGTGGTTACAGCTTATGATAATAATCCTGATCATGGGATCTGTGAGGATTTTATTAAATTGTTTAGTTGATTTTATTTTTCTCTAAAAACATGCATTGTATAACCAGAAACATATTTTAGAGAAAGATAGATGACATTAATGCATGTGTGATTTCTCTCATTATAATGTCATGTAAAACAACAAAAATGGCAGAAGCTTAATTATCTCTGAAGATACGATGAGTTTTGAGTAGAATCCTGTAATTATGGTAATTCTGCTGTGATATTAATGCAGCATATGCAAGTCATAAGCAGCAGTTAAAGATCAGCATGTCTGAATCATGATCTCTGCTTTCAGACTGCAGCGGTTGGTGTTTGGGCTCATGAGAAGCTGTTTAAAGCTCATGTGAATGGAGGTTTGGGTCACTTCAGCCGAAGGCCTTGAAATCAGAGGTTCACAGTGCAGTGACGAGTGAGAGCAGCTAATGCCTTATTAATTATTAACTGACACTTACATTCAGATGTTGACAGCCGCTGTCTGATGGGTTGAATATTTGAAATCGTACGGTGTATATTCGAGAAGGCTAGCTGCTAATAGGTAGGTAACAGAAGGTAGCTGTCATGAGACCTTCATCATATTCTGTGATATTCATCAGTTCTGTGATAAAGTGTCATGTTAGCGCTTACCTAGCCTTTCAAGGTTCTGATTGGTCAGTTGCAGATTTGTAGAATCCAATATTATGGTATAATTTACTATTGTTTTCATCTGTAAAGCATTGATATGCAAGGCATACACAGTGGACATTACTGTGAAATTACAGTTTTTCTGACACTTCTCTCCAATGCAATGCACTTGTTCTCAAAACAATTAGCACAGCCATCCAAACACAAAATTATCTTAACCAAACAGTTCTACTTTACTGCAAAATGAAGCACTGCAAGTTTTTCTAGTAATGCATTTATTAAAAGTAAATATTAACATCAAATCTATATTGATTATAAAACACATTCAGCTGTAGATGCACAAATATGCTTTTGAACGGTAGTGTATATGAGAAGAAAAAGGTCACAGTGTCAGTTTAGTGTCATTATGCAAATATATTAGACTGCATAATGTTACGATGGACCAATCACAATCAAGTATTCCATATATGGTTTTTTTAATGTTATTTAGGTTTAATTTAATTTCAGTTTTAGATTAGATTTATTTCCAGCAGTGTGTGCTTCAGCTTAAACGTATTTCAGTTAGCAACATTTCTCATTTTTAGTAAATGTGAAATTTTCATCTAAAATGTAAAATTTAATTCAGCTTTGTTTTAATTAACACAGTTGTTTTTAATAGTTCTAGTTTTAGTTCTGTTTGTTTGTTTATTCGTTCATTGATTGATTATATTAAATAAAATAAATTGTATTATTATTTATTTTATAAATGTGTTTATTCATTTATTTTGTATCATATTTTGTGCATAATTGTTATAAAAATCACAATGCAAAAAGTCATAAAAGGCTTCCTTTTCTTAATGCAAAGTGTTATTTTATGCTTTATTTCAGTTTTACGTCAATTAACAAAAATGTTTTTAATAGTTCTAGTTTAGTTCTCTCTCTTTCTTTCTTTCTTTTTATTGAATAAAATGCATTTTGAATGCATTGAATGCATTTTATTATTATTTATTTTGTTTTAGTTATTTATTTATTTTGAAATGTGCATGGTTATAAAAATTGCAAAATGCAAAAAGTCATAAAAGGTTTCCTTTTCTTTATGCAAAATTACTGTTTATGTTTATATTTTATTTCAGCATTATTTCAGTTCACAAAAATGTTTAAATAGTGTCTGTTGTGGTTACAGCTTATGATAATAATCCTGATCATGGGATCTGTGAGGATTTTATTAAATTGTTTAGTTGATTTTATTTTTCTCTAAAAACATGCATTGTATAACCAGAAACATATTTTAGAGAAAGATAGATGACATTAATGCATGTGTGATTTCTCTCATTATAATGTCATGTAAAACAACAAAAATGGCAGAAGCTTAATTATCTCTGAAGATACGATGAGTTTTGAGTAGAATCCTGTAATTATGGTAATTCTGCTGTGATATTAATGCAGCATATGCAAGTCATAAGCAGCAGTTAAAGATCAGCATGTCTGAATCATGATCTCTGCTTTCAGACTGCAGCGGTTGGTGTTTGGGCTCATGAGAAGCTGTTTAAAGCTCATGTGAATGGAGGTTTGGGTCACTTCAGCCGAAGGCCTTGAAATCAGAGGTTCACAGTGCAGTGACGAGTGAGAGCAGCTAATGCCTTATTAATTATTAACTGACACTTACATTCAGATGTTGACAGCCGCTGTCTGATGGGTTGAATATTTGAAATCGTACGGTGTATATTCGAGAAGGCTAGCTGCTAATAGGTAGGTAACAGAAGGTAGCTGTCATGAGACCTTCATCATATTCTGTGATATTCATCAGTTCTGTGATAAAGTGTCATGTTAGCGCTTACCTAGCCTTTCAAGGTTCTGATTGGTCAGTTGCAGATTTGTAGAATCCAATATTATGGTATAATTTACTATTGTTTTCATCTGTAAAGCATTGATATGCAAGGCATACACAGTGGACATTACTGTGAAATTACAGTTTTTCTGACACTTCTCTCCAATGCAATGCACTTGTTCTCAAAACAATTAGCACAGCCATCCAAACACAAAATTATCTTAACCAAACAGTTCTACTTTACTGCAAAATGAAGCACTGCAAGTTTTTCTAGTAATGCATTTATTAAAAGTAAATATTAACATCAAATCTATATTGATTATAAAACACATTCAGCTGTAGATGCACAAATATGCTTTTGAACGGTAGTGTATATGAGAAGAAAAAGGTCACAGTGTCAGTTTAGTGTCATTATGCAAATATATTAGACTGCATAATGTTACGATGGACCAATCACAATCAAGTATTCCATATATGGACATGCAACCACCTGCTGTGTAGTGTTTGGGTAACACTGTGCTGCTGTGATTAAGTCAATACAAGTCCTCCGTGTCAGTCAGAGGGGATTTGTCCTCAAGTTTGCCGCACATATATGTTGACGTCTCTCCTCGCGCTAGCTGCATGTTATTCCCTGTGCTTTTTTGTGTTTTCATCTTTTCTGACAAGTCTGGGAAGAGCGTCATGTTATTCAAACAATTGTTCATCTGGAGACTGCTCTTTATTTAATCTCATTGTCTTGTGTAAACAGCTGAAATCTCAAATTACATATACTTTCATATGGTTTCATGTGCTGTTTTAGTATATCATTTCAGGGTTTCTGCAGGTCTTAATTCACATTTTTACAAATTAATGCCTTAAAATGTCTTCAATAGGTGCAGAAAGGCTTAAATTTATGATGGCATGGCATTAAATGATGCATGCGCTGCAAAAAAAATATTTTTTTTTCTCTCAGAATTTTGTCTTCTACAAATATCTAAACATCTTTATATCAGGATTAATTTACTTGAGACGAAATTTGAAGATATGAAATCATGTTTTCTGAGAAACCGAACAATCTGAAGTGTGTTTATGCTTAAACAACAAATATCTGTCAATAAAGAATGAAATCTTGTGAATTAAGTTGATTTTTCCGAGGTATTTAGTCATGTTTTAATCATAAATTCACTTATATCTCGTGATTTTGCTTCTCAAATCAGTGTGTCTTGATTTAAGAATCTTTTAGATTCTTATTTTCAATGGAAAGTTACAAAAATACTGAGAAAGATGTTTTATTCCTTTTTTTATATACTTGGTACACTATTATAGTTACATTTTGATAATATTATTTTATATAGTTATATAATTCATATTTTGAATTAGTTTAACTTTTTATTTTAGTTATATTAATTTACTTACTATTTAAACATCACTGTTTAAGTGTAATGTATTTTATTTAAAAATATATATATTTTAGTTTATTTTTGGTTAGTAATTTTAATGCTTTAACCTAAACTTATTCCAGTTAATTACCATGGCTACATTTCTCATTTTCATTTATTTTGGCTTTCAACTAATATTTATATTTGTATTTTAATTCAGCTTGATTTCAATTGACAAAACTGTGTTGAATAATGTTCGTTTTATTTGTAGTTTGTGATAGTACATGCTGGAGATGTTTGTAGATTGTCTCCAGACAGTAAAGCCCAGTATGTGTCTGTGCATGACTCACTGTTGACTCATGACTCTTTCTCTTCTCTTTCCTCTTCATTTGCAGAACACGACAAGCATCGTCTATGCAAGAGCACAGAGTACATGAATTTGCACTTCAAAGTCAAATGGTTCCACAACGAGTACGTCCGAGACCTGCCTGCCTTTAAGGGAATTCCTCCAGAGTATTCACTGTGAGTTTCCCTTCACATCTCGCTCTCTCACGGTGTTGAGTTTTTTTCTGAAATCATTGATATAAACAAAAATCAAGCTCCATCCCAGTTTACAGGTTTAAGGCATGAGGAACTAGTTCCCTTACACCATCAACAACAAACCAATATATATATATATATATATATATATACATACACACACTACCGGTCAAAAGTTTGGGATCAGAACGATTTTTAATGTTTTTACAGGAGTTTCTTCTTCTCATCAAGGCTGCATTTATTTGATCAAAAATTTAATATTGTGAAATATTATTATGATGTAAAATAACGTTTTTCTATTTTAATATACATTAAAATCTCATTTATTCCTGTGATGCGCAGCTGTATTTTCAGCATCATTACTCCAGTCTTCAGAGTCACATGATCTTCAGAAATCAGTATAATATTCTGATTTATTATCAGTTGTGCTGCTTCATATTTTTTTGGAAGCTGTGATACTTTTTTCAGGATTCTTTGATGAATAAAAAGTTAAAAAGAAGAGCATTTATTTAAAATTGAAATATTTTCTAACAATATACACTAGCGTACAAAAGTTTGGGGTCAGTACATTTTAATTATTTATTTATTTTAAAGAAATTGAAACTTTTATTCAGCGAGGATGTGTTCAATTGTTAAGAAGTGATAGCAAAGATTTATATTGTTAGAAAAGATTTATATTTTGAGTAAATGCTGTTCTTTTGAACTTTTTATTCATCAAAGAATCCTGAAAAAAGTATTGCAGTTTCCAAAAAAAGTATTTGGCAGCACAACATTGATAATTCTAATAATAAATCAGCATATTATACTGATTTCTGAAGATCATGTGACACTTTATACTGGAGTAATGATGATGGAAATGCAGCTTTGCGTCACAGGAATAAATCATATTTTAAAGGATATTAAAATAGAAACCATTATTTTATATTGTAATAACATTTTGCAAGATTACTGTTTTTTCTGTATTTTTGATCAAATAAATGCAGCCTTGATGAGAATAAGAGACTTCTTTAAAAAACATTACAAGTCTTACTGATCCCAAACTTTTGACCGGCAGTGTATATATATATATAAATGTTTGCATTAATTAAAAAAAGCCATATTTTTGGATTATGATGACATTTTCATGACAATTTTAAACAGAAAGCTTTCTAATTTAACAATATACATCAGCGGGATGTTTTCAACATTTAATTGTAAATTTCTTAGTGTAACATTCACAAAACCACATCTACTATACGACTATATATACTATACTATACGTTTGAATGGGGTTTGTGGGTTAAAGCGTTCAAGCTGAATTAATTGCAGGAAATCACTTTCCATTTGATGGTGATATAATTATAAATTGTATTATTATATAAAATCATGTATATATGAAGAGCTCAGATGCAAAAGCCTCTAAAATGAGCATTTTTATCTGGCTCCCGTGTGTAGGTTTTGTAATTTCACTTTATTGGCAATGTATAGGTTCTTTTCATATATATATATATTTATTTATTTATTTATTTTTGCAATAATTACAAGTGATTAACACATAAATTAGTTTTCAATTTTATTGTTATTTTATTTCTCAAGTTTTTTCATGTCTGAATTTCACCTCCTACATAAAGCACCCTGAATGTTGCTCCATCCATTCATAACCCATCATGCATCTGTCCTGGATCTGCAGACGCACGCTGGCCTCTCATTGGCTGCTGTCTGTTGTCAAAAAGTCACTCATTCATTAATGTGAGTTATGAGCGTGGAAAGGCGGGAGGACAGATGGGACGGGACTTCAGGGAAGAGCCACACAGCTGTCAATCAAAAATCTCCTCCAGATCCGCCCAGCGTATTTATTAACATAAGTGACAGGAGAAAAAAGATTGCGTTTCCTGAAGGAAATGCCAGCATTTGCAAAGCACCAAAGGAATAATGCTAAGGTTTTAGGTACGTTTCAGTTTGAAATTAAGTAAGGAATTTGTGGGTTAAACAATTCAAGCTGAATTAATTGCAGATATTGAGAAAAAAATAAGAATAACAATATATTCTTTAAAGAATATTAACACAGTGTTGCTTTGCAAACATGTTTTTTAAATGATTCCTGCAGCAGCAATACGAACTAAAATGTGCCAACATCAAAGCACAGCCTGTCAGATGAGATTTGAACATTAACACACACAGGAGTCCTCCTCACCCGCTCACTCTCATCAGCTTTTCTCAGATTTTCTCTCCACCCTCAGCTGTTAAAATCACTCACTTATCTCTCGCTATTAAAATACTATGATTACTGTTATGACTTATGATTACTTATATTTTATTTCGCAGAGATCAGTTACCTTCCTACATTATTGCAACTGCAACAGGCATTTTAATCAGATGCATATTGCCTGTTACACATTATTTCATCTCTGTTTGTTTGTTTGTTTGTCATGCATATTGCTATCTATCTATCTATCTATCTATCTATCTATCTATCATCCATCCAGCCATCCATCTATCATCTATCTATCCGTCCATCCATCATCTTATCTATCTATCTATCTATCTATCTATCTATCTATCTATCTATCTATCTATCTATCTATCTATCTATCTATCTATCTATCTATCTATCCATCCATCCATCCATCCATACATCCATCCATCCATCTATCAGATGCATGTGGCCTGTTATATATAATTTAATCAAATGCATATTTATTTATTTAGTTCATGTTTTTTATTTATTTTTATTTTTATTTTCAAATGCATATTGCCTGTTCTCCATAATTTAATCAGATGTTATCGTTTGTTCGTTCGTTCCTTTATTCATTTATATATCTATCCATCTGGGGACAGTTTTTTTTTTTACTCTTTCTTTTAAGCAACTAGGCACAAGTAACCATATGACTAGTCTCAATATTATACTCTCATTATCATAATCTTACATGATAAACTGGACACACAGTCCCCAGAAAGCATGTGTATATTGATGAGACATCTGTGAAATATCGCCGCTGGTAAACATTGCATTTTAAAGGATATATTTATGTACAAGCATCTGATAAAATTGATTAAAAGTAATATACATTCAAACTAATAAATGTAGGCAAGAGCATCTGTTAAATGTCGTCCTGACATTCAGGGACATGTTGCAAATGAGAAATGGCTGTAAAAATGACACCCTACTGCAGATGTCAGACTGATCTCTCTGCAGCGTTCCTGAGCTGTGAATGTGTGCGTAGGAAACCTTCACATAGAGCAATATTTATAGTTCCCTTTCAGTCGGTCACTCTCGACGTCACGTCGGAGGACCGACGAAATTGGGATCTCGCTTAGAGGGACCAATCTACTTCGAGTGTAAACTAAACGAGCCAATGCACATTGGCATGCGATTATTGCATCCAGCTGCTGCTGATCACAGCGTGAGTATAAGTAGGCAGCAGGTGCAGCGCATATTCAGCTTTTCGCTTCGGAGCCGAGCGATCACATCGTTCCGCTCCTGACTACTCTACGGAGAGAAGACTGAACGAGTTCAGCACGCTCTTGGAGAGCTCTTCGTGTTGGCGGACGGCGCTTCAGCGGTGGTGGTTTCCCGTGTCGAGTGGGTTGCACACATCAGGCTGCACTACCCCCTGATTGTGTTGCAAATGATCATCTCCCCTGTGCGCCTCAGCACGCTAAAAGAGCTTTTTCCCCTAAAAGAGCAAATTCGGGTGCGTCTTTCTAAAGACGACGTTGCTTAGCAAACTTTACGTTACGTCGTTATAAAGACGATGTGGGTCTTGCTATAGACAACGTATCACCCGGGCATTCTGGATGCGGTCGTTACCTGGCGCTGGGTGATGGTCACGATCGCTGCCTCTCGTGCCTGGGCATGAAGCACGCTGAGGTGGCTTTCGTGGATGGTTCATGCTCCCATTGCGGGGGTATGACCATCTCGGAGTTGCGGACCAGACTCCGTTACCTGCAAAGGGCGGAGTGCCCGTGCCACTGCCTAGATCTGGGGTTCCCTCTGGGGGCAGCCGGGGGCGTCCTTTTTCTGGCGGTGGGCGGACTGGGCTTACGGTCACGGTGAGGAATTCCCCTCCGGGGATGCCCAAGCCCGCCGGCACTTCGAAACCAGCGGAGCTCTCAAAAAGAGCAGGCTGGACCCTCCCGGGGGGTACCACCTGTTTCTTCCGAGGCTCCCCCCGACGATCGGATGTCGACTGCAGCATCGGAGGGTGAGCCAGAGCTTTCTGGAGAGGAAGATTCGGCTGCGCTGCTCTCCTCCGGGACCGTAGCAATGCCTGGATCGGATCCAGAAATAATGGCTATGCTTTCCCGGGCCACCGTAGGGGTAGGGCTCGAGTGAAGACTTTCACCGTGTCCCGAGCCCTCAAGGTTGCACGATTGGTTCCCGGGGCGGTCCGCGCTGGTTCCAAGCCCCCCGCCTCAGTGCCTTTCTTCCCGGAGGTGCATGAGGAGCTCAACAGGTCGTGGACGGCACCTTTTTACTGCCGGAAACTGATTTGCTGGATCCTCCTCCCTCACCACCCTCGATGGTGGGGCAGTCAGGGGGTTACAAGGGTCCCCCCGGTGGAGCGGTCGGTTGCGATGCAGTTGTGTCCTAATACCGCCTCCAACCGGCAAGGAGAACCGTGCCTCCCCTCCCGGGTCTGTAGGTACTCGACT